ATAGTGTCGGATTAGAGCTCTTGATTATGTCACGAATCTTCTTATTCAGAATCACGGGATTTGGTCACGAGTTCCTTCCGTTAATGCAGAATTTATCTATCGGGGGGGATTAGTAGAGTCCAACACTTCTACTAAAGGACTTTTGAAGTTTTTGAACTCTCTCTGAGTTATCTTTATTGAAGGTAAATATTAGGCACTTATATACTTATTTTTACATATCGAATAAATTTTGAAAATTTTAACAATTTCTTCTTTTTTCAAAATTTTGTCGTTTATCAAAATTTTGTTATTTTACCCTTTTTTCAAAATTTACTAAATTTACCAAATTTACTAAATTTACCAAATTTTCAAAATTTACCAAATTTTGAAAATCGACCTTGTACCATACCGGCGCTCATCTTTACCAAGAGGGGTAAATTCGACGCTCACAACGTGCTTTATATCACTTGCAGAAATAACATAGATGCATGCGGAATAAAGTGAAATTTTTTATAATAATTATTATAAAATTTATATTTTAAAAATGAGTTATTCTACTCTTATTTTAATTTCTTTTCATTCACATTGGTTAATAAATAAATATAATAGCCAGTTAGAAATAAAATATTTCAATAAGCTATTTATATCTTATTTAATTTTATTCAAGTTAAATTTTGTTTATAATACGATAATTGCTTATTGGTCGAAGCATTTAACATTAAAGTGAGATATTTACAGGTCGACTTTGAAATTCTATAGTTTAAGATTTAAAAATCTAGATAGTTGAGATTTCAAGAATTAAATAGTTCCCGATTTTTTCTGTCTACAGTATTTATAAATTTTAATTTCTCAAAAAAAAATAATCAGGATAAATATGCAATGCGGTTGAAATAGACATGGGAATATATATTTATATGCTACTTGTTGATTAAAGTCTCCCAGAAAATATTTATTTACAATGCAATTTAGCGCAGTATATCAATCTGACTCATTAAATTACATTATTAAATGGTTTTTTACTGGGATATAACTATTTAATATTTGTTAGCTCACTATTTATTCTCATTTATTTACAAGCGTAAGCATAAAATGTGTTTCTAAGTTTTAAAATCAATTATTCATATTTATAAATATTTAGATTAATTTCATTTTGTTCATGTTAATAAAGGTGTGTATAAAAACATTTATTAATATAAATATTTAAAATAAAGATATTCATAAAATTCTATTATTTAACCCGTAATAACATGGCACGAGTGCAAAATGATATAGCTATTCAAAATAATTTATTCAAATCAATGAATATTTATTTTTTTAATTACATTTTAGATTGTAAATATATAAAGACCATTTACTAATCTAATTTAAGTACTTAAAATAAGCTATTTTATTTTATTTGAGATAATATAGTAGGTAGTATAAATTATTAATTTATATAAGTATTTAAAATAATTTATTCATGTACATGTATATTTATTACTCATTAATGTAGAGAGTAAATTTAGAGCTAAGTATTTAAATAAATTATTCAAATTAATAAATACTTAATGTTTAAATTGCATTAATGTATTTAAATATTTTATGTGCATTAATGAGAGAGTATAAAGATAGTTTATTAACCTAATTATTTAAAATAAGTAATTCATATTCACTATTTAATTTTCTTTTTATTCACATTTGGTAAGGAAGTGACATTTATTAATTTAAGTATTCAAAGTAAATTATTCATTATAAATATTTTTATTCCTATCTAAGTTTATAAGTAACATAATTAAATGAAATAACTAATATGAGAATTTATGATTTAAAAGAAAACCTGAATACGAAAAATGTACATATCATAAGATAACACAGGCGAAGTGTGGGCAGGTATAAATAAAGATATTGGTGATTACAAGATTTCAACTTAAGACTATTACTGGTTGATATTAAAAAAAAATTAAAAGAGTATTTAATTCTGCATTTTCTATAGCATGGCCGAATAGTATATAATGATTAATCATAGTAGGGTAACTATATAAGAGCAAATATTGCAAATGGAATAATGAACATCAATTATTAATGAAATGATTGCTACAATTTGAGTATGGTATATTGTCTTTTCCGTTTGCAATTAATTTTGTTTTTTAAACTTACTCAATATGAGTGAGAATACGGGCGATTAATTCAACTGATTTCATGCAATGTGAAATGTAATTTATTTATTTATTAAGATAATAAAAGCTAAACCATGTTTTATACTTAGTTTTATTAATAAATAGCCAGATATTGTAAACAAAAAGAAAAAAAACTATAGCAGCTTAATAAGATATATTTAGATATTTGATCTACGTTAGATTCACACAAAGAACCTATTTTAAATATGTTAGAAAATTCTCAGAATGAAAATAAACATAAATAATAAACAAATGAGCAATACAAAACAGAAAACTTTTAATTTTTTGCTATCCTATTAATAATATAAGATTTTTTTTTTTACAATTTATTAAATCTTGAACTGATATAAATAATCATAATACGGTTTGCTTGCTTCGATAGCATCATAAACAATTTGTGGAAATTCAATTTCAATATCATGCTTATCAGTAAATTTATTAAAGCCAGTGCTATTTTCCGCATTACTAGTTAGGATAAATTTATGTTAGTGATTAAGCAAAATTGACAATTTAATTTAAATTCTTAAAATTAAATCTACTTACTGGGTCATAAATTTTAAAACCTTTGCAGCTTTTCCATCTACGGCCCAATCTTTAATAGGTTTTGCTTCCCAATGAGTCATTTCTTCTTTAAATTCCTCTCCAATTAACTCGCAGTATTTCTTCAAAACTCTTTCTGGATCGTTAATCAAATCATCAGCATCCACAACAATCAGTTGTTTATTTAAATCTTTTAGCAAATCAAAAAGTTGTTTGGATTCTTTCAATCCTATCAGATCTTTATTGAAGCCTCG